AATCGGGGTAGATACGGCATGTGTTGGGTGCATCACGAAGCACATGGAGTAGTAGTTGAGCCAAGAAAGGATTCATTCCTCATAATAGATTAAGAGAGAACATTCTACTTCTCATATCTAGATGGATCATAAAGTCATTGGCCAATGCAAAGATATATTCGTTTTGGATATCGAATATGATCGTTATGGATCATCTAGAAAGATTGAGAGACAGAGACTGAGTTATTGGGATAGACACTATATCATGTTCTAGACTTAGTTGAATGTTCGCTGAATGAAAGGACCGTATCACTATGAGCTCTATATTACAGGGAGTTTGTATAGTCCTCGCAAACGTCCTTATATATTAAGTTTGTCTGGAGAATCGTCTAGGGATTCGCTAAGACCTTAATTTGATTAGTGCTTAATATATAAGGCCCTATGGGTCACACAACAAGTGATTATACCTTCCGATTGAATTGTTAGAAGGAATTAAATATTATTAATTGGATTAAATAATATTTAATTCGTAATACTGAAAATGAATTAAATATTAATTAGATTAAACATATTTAATTCATGAAGCTGAAGGAGAGTTCTATTTGATAGAATTAATTAAGTAAGATAAATTAGATTTATCATACTTAAATAAGATGTATTTATTATTAAATAAAGTAGATATTTTCTTTTGTAATTTGGAATTAAAAGAAAAGTAAATAAAATAAATATTAATATATAATAATTAGAAAGTGGCGTGCAGCCACATCTCAATTATTATTATTATTATTTTGTTTTGTTTTATCTACTTATTTAATTAATTAGGAGTATTGGTCCTAGTAGGATTAGAACTCATTAATTAGAAAGACTTTCATTGTGATTGGGAGACTAGTTTCGAACTAATATAAATACATCCTTCTCCTTCATAATTTGGAGACCAGTTTTAAGATTCAGTATTACCAGTTTATTTCCCTGCGAAGAGATTTCCTAGTCTTTCTTTTAGGGAGATCTAACCGTTCTTTCGGAAAGGAGAAATCACGTGGATACCAAAGGTCAAGGATTATCACCGCTAGGCTGGAAGATCTGTAAGTTCTAACTCAGATCTGTTATTATTATCATATTCGTTATTTTGTTATAATCAGAAAGATCTGTTTGGGAAAATTTTAAACTTCCGTTGCCGTACTTTCGAGGTACGTTACATCAATTTCCTAACAGTCTTCTGCCAGTGTCTAGGTGGAAAATCCCTGATCAAATCTTCCTTTAAAGCCTCCCAACTATCTTTTCTCTTTCGAAAGTCCCACCATTGAAACCAGCCATCTGCAGCTTCCCCCATTGCCTTTGCTGCAATGTCCACTTTAAATCTTTCTGCAATAGCTTGGACTCGGAAATATCTTTCCATCTTCTCTATCCATTTGTACGCTTCATCCTCGTAGAATAGAGGTAATTCCCCCTTCTTTGAATTAACTGAATTCCAAGAAGCGACTTTAGACGAAGAATGCGAACTGTGAGAATCCTTTGGTGCAGAAGACTATTCTCTTTTCAATCGTGTTTTTCTTGAATGCGAACTGATGTCAGTTGAGAAAGTCTGCGAACTCTGATGCGAAGAGCGATGATAAGAGTGATGCGAAGAACTCGAAGAGTGATGTGAAGAGCTTTGCGAATAAACAGTTCGCGAATGGCCAGATTTTTTGCGATGCCTCCGCTCTTCTGAGTCCTCTGGACTCGCTGACCTTCGTGTGTGATGAAGATGAGATTCGCGACGCGATGCGTTTGACGCATGCGATCTGTTCCGCGAGCAACTCTGGACTTTATTTTCCAGCCTTGCGATGTCCGCCTTTATGTCTGCCAAGGTCGTTGCCATAGCCGCCATTGTTGCCGATGTTTCTTTTTGTTTTCTTTCCAGGTCGTTAATTCTTCCTTCCATTTTGCGCGTGTGTATCACCAACCAGCGATCGAAGGCTCTGATACCAATGATAGAACCTCCAGAAATCCAGAACAATTACAGAAAGAGATCAAGAAATCAAACAGAACTTTATTAGAGAAGATGACCAGTAATAGTAACAAATGGCCGAAGCCCCCAGTTGAGCCTAAGCCCACCAAAAGAAAGAGGCAGAGCTCTAACTTCCCAGTCTACGACAAAGTCTAAAACAGCCTACCTACTAACTCCCTTTTCCCAGCTATTTATATTGTCTTTACATTTATTGTTGTTATTATTTCTATTCTTAGTCTAATGGGCCTGATTCCTATCAACCATCACTCGGTATCCGGTTCCAGATATGAAGATGTGGCTAGCTTCAATTCAGTGTTCATTGCCAATGGTGGAATGCCCTCCAATCCTTCTCTTGATTCGACTAGGTTTATGGCTCTTGAAACAGATGACACATGTGGGGACGTTGTACCTGACGCGCGGTGAGAATAAGCGAGTGACTGCAAACCAGAGATTTTTGTTTGCGACACAGTACGCGAACTAGGAAAAGTGATTCGCATATGCGAACTGGGATAAGTGACAAATGATGATGCTGACTGCAAGGAAACCTGAGAACGACTGAGGAATCCAGCAGCTGCGCCAGATTCAGGTCCACAGGTCCATCGGCAAGTGTAGATTGCTCCTTGATTTCGTCTTCCGGATTTCGATTCTTGATTACAAATTCATCTTGCTTCAACTCAGTGTTCCTTATTGAATGGGGAGAATCCTGATAGAAACGGATTGCGATAAAACTTGCAAACAAGAAGATTCTTCTCTTGATCGTGTTGCCTTCTGATGCGAGTTGATTGCGGGTGATGATGCCTGCGGACTGTGAGACGCAGTTCGTGACTGTGAATTGTGAGAAGTTCACGATTGCGAACTGTGAGACGAGGTTCGCGACTGCGACCTGGGAAAAGATGTTAGTGACTAAGAAGAAACGTGCACACTTAGCGACGAACTGGGAGATGAGGTTGACGACCACGACGAGCACGGGTTTTCAGATGGCCGAAGACGTCTAGGACTCCTCACTCGAAGTGCGATGATTCTAATCTCTCCTTGATGCGAAGCGAGATGCGAGGTGTGCGATTGATTCCTCGATCGACGTTGGTCTCCGGTAACCAAGGTCGCGAGTGTCGCCTGTATTATTGCCAAAGTCTCCTTAGTTTTATTCTGATTTTTCTCCCACTCGTTCACTCGTAAATCCATTTGCGGATGAGTAAAGACCATCCACATTTATCGATGAGCTCCGATACCAGTGATTGACGTGCTCTGATACCACTTATAGAACTCACGCAAATAGGTACGAATACAGAAAGATGAAAATAGTATTTAAGAAGCACTTCAAGCTTTCATTATTGGAAGAAAATGTACAAAGATCCCAACAAGAAAAGAGATGTGATATCTCAGTTCTCCCAGCCCAAAGCAAATGTCTAACAACGTGCTTCTTATTACACACTCCCCTCCCATGTATACTACTCTAGCTTGTACTCTTCTTTTTTACTCTTATTCTATCGGGTCCCTATCAACTACCCGGGGCAGTGAACCGGCTGGTTGTCCATATGGGGGCTAGGAAACATCGTCCTCCCTCAGGCTGTCATTGGAATCAACATCTGCGCAACTCCCCCCATATGCCACTTTTGATTAGTGTTTCAATTGATAAAATAGTTCACCTACAGAGTAATAGTAGGCCGAATATAGTAATGTATGTAATAGCTATGCACTAGTTTGTAGAAAATCAGCCTTTAATGTGAATTCTTTGTTTATTCGGTAAACTACTGCAAAATTAGTTATTCCCTCTGTCCCGAAAAGGTTTGCCAAAATTCCTTTTTTGGATGTCCCAAAAAGATTTGCCATTTCCATTTAAAGTAAAGAATATGTGGCTAAAGTTAATTCTCTCTCCTCTGCACAAATTTCAACCACACAATTTTTACTTTATTAGTCCACGTGAAAGTCAAAGTTGGCAAACCTTCTCGGGACAGAGGGAGTTAAATAGTAGAACCAAGCCATGTATACTCAAAAGGATGTGAAGAACATCTCCGATGCAAAAACGTGAACGGTGTACAAATGATGATAAGAGAGAAAAACTTACCAAAAAAATATAAGACCATGGAAAGAAGGAGAGAGAAATGTCATGAATTGGTTCTTTTGTGCCTCTCTCACATGAGACATATTCACCGTGCAGATTATAGCATTAAAGATGCTCAAATATGTTCATCAGGTTTTGCTGATGTTAGCACTTTTTAGTAATCCCTCGAAAGGATGATTTATAACCTCCCCTTTTTAATACATTCTACTCAAAAAACTGGTTGTAATACATAATTGTATTATCTTCCATTTTGCATATATGATTAGTTTAACAATTTTAAAAGTGGAATTGATTAGTAAAATTAAATTATCCTACCCCAAGAATGAAAGGTTCACCAATAATAAATGTATATTGAACTTTTCCACAAACTGCAAATCTACAAGTGTACTTATCATGTACTCCCTCCGGTCCTAAATAAACTTCACAATTTCCTTTTTGGGTAGGTCCAAAATAAACTTCACACTTCTTCTCCCTTTCTTATTTGGCAAATTATCTACATCAAAACAGTGCAAAACAGTGCCAAACAGTGACAAACAGTGTCACAACAGTGTACTCTACAGTAAAGTCAAATTTATTTCCTTAATTTGTGTGAAGTCAAAGTGTGAAGTTTATTTAGGACCGGAGGGAGTATATGATTTAATGCTTGGATATGACATATATGTTTTTTAACCATGTGTTATTTGAATAATAGAAACAATACTGAGTATATGGAGTGCAAGTTTGGTGGAGGTAAAAATAGTAGCAATAGTGGGATTACTCTTAATGGTAAGGAGATACTGGTGTGTGATATACTTCGTTACTTGAGCTCCATAATTCAGAAGGATGGTGAATTAGATGGAGATGTATCCCATAGATCAGAGCTGGGTGAATGAAATGGAAAAGTGCATCAGGATTTCTATGCGATCGAAGTATGCCGACTAGAGTGAAAGGTAAATTTTATCGAACAGCAATTAGGTCTGCATTAATGTATGACGCAGAGTGAAAGATGAGTGGCAGAGATGCATATGTTGCGTTAGATGTGTAGACATATCAGGAAAGAGATCATCAGATCAAAGGTGGGAGTAACGCCTATAGAAGATAAGATGCAGGAGTCTCGTTTGCGGTGGTTTGGACATGTGCGTAAAAGATCGAATGATGCACCTGTTAGACGACTTGAGGGATGAAGAGACGAGACAGAGAGGAGGGAGGGTAAGTCCCAAACAGACTTGGGTTAGAGGAATCGGAACTGATATACGTCTTCTTGGGTTTAATAAGAGTATGGCTTTGGAGAGAGCAAAGTGAAGGGCGCACATTCATGTCGACGATTGATCTCTTTTTTTATTTTTCCTCTCTCTTTTCTTTTATCGTTTATCTTCTTCATCTTTTTATGTCTTATATGTTATTTTTATCTTCTAACTTTTTTATGCTCTTTTATCTTTCTATCTTTTATTTTTCTTGTATTCTTATGTTATTGTTATCTTTATTTTTATCTTTATCTTATCCATTGATCTTACATTTTTCTTCTTCGTGTCTGTCTTCTCTTTTTAGCATAGATATCATGTTAGCCGACCTCAAAAAACTTTTAGGATTAAGGCTTGGATGTTGTTGTTGTTGTGTTATTTGGATACCCACACTCAGTAAATTTCTAGGTAATTATATTGTTTTGATATGATTTGTTTTAGGCGGAAGCAAGGTAGTCAAAAGCGCTCGTCCCAGCGCTTAAGCGCATCAGGCGCAAGGTAGCCTTCAATGCTTGGGAGAAGGGGAGGTGCATATACCAGGGTCAGGCGCAACATAAGCACATGATGCGCCGCAGCGCAAGGAGGCGCACGCCTGGGTCGCCTGATCCGAAAAAGTCTGGCAAGCCTTTTTTTGTTAAAAACTTTCAAAAATAATTAGCCAACATCTTTATTAACACTCACCCATCTAAATAACAACGTAAAATCATTGAAACCTACGTAAAACCTTTAGTCAAGTACGTAAAAACGTAAGACCTTGCGTAAAATCACTAAGCTATCATCATTAGTCATCATTGCTCTTCAGACTACTCACTCTTCTCACTCAAGCTGCTCTCCACCGGCCAGTTCTATCAGTTTTCTTCATCTCTCAAGCAAACTCAGTTCTCCTTCACAGCACTAAACAAGATATGTGTTCTTTTTCATGCAATCCTCTTCATCCAAATACTAGTATATAATACTCTATAGTATATTACTCATAATAAAGTAATAATACCTTGCATTACTCTATATTCCTCACAGCACAAGTATATTGATATTTATATAATATAATATTAGTAATAAAAGTAATAATACTATGTATTACTCTACATTACTCACAACACTAGTATATTGGTATGTATATAATAAAAAATAATACTCTGTATTGCTCTATATCAATCGCAGCACTAGTATATTGCTACGTATATAATAAAGTCATAATACTCTGTATTACTCTATATTACCCACAGCACTAGCATATTGTTGTGTATATAATAAAGTCATAATACTCGGTAACTCTATATTACTCAGAGTACCAGTATATTGCCATGCATATAATAAATAATACTACATAGTCCAAAAATCCAAGTTCAGGTAATACTCGTAAGCTTGTGGATGAGGAATGTGAGAGAGAAATTGAAGAGGATGTTGGAGAATATAAATCATATAATGGAGAAGAAACTGACTCCTCTTTTGATGACGAATAGTCCTTCACAAGTTTAACAGGGGGAAATAGGCTCCAATTTGATTGTCTCTTATTTTTAATTTTAATATTAAAGCCATGAATTCTGAATTTGGTGTTTTATTTTTGTGAATCATGATTCATGACTTTATTTTGGTGAATCCTGGCTTTCTTTATGCATTTGGTTCAATATGATATTACATACATCTTATTTGGTAATTATAGAATAGTAAAACGATTCATTTGCGCCTTGCGCCTCGGGCGCTGGAAGGCCACTAGCGCTTCAAGTGCACCTTTCTACTTTGACTACCTTGAGCAAGAGAGACTGTTGACAATTTTGGAAAGGCAATACATTAGACATCACCATTTTTGCCCATGTCCACTTGTGATTTAAGTTTTAACTGTTAGGAAACCAGACACAATAACACACTCACGCACACTATGTGCTGTAGTATAAGAAGGGAATCATATTCTATTCAAAAACCCAACTCTTGAAATACAGGAGATGCCTTTATATATAATAGGCATTAAAACATCATTAATTGGAACATTAGAGAAAGGAACTTTCTGGGAAGTCTTTTCAAGTATCTAGCAACTCTTTAGTTTCCCACATTTATTTGAATTAAAACTATTTTCCAACAAATTCCTCCCTTAGTTTTAATTCCCTCTTGTCTTTCATGCCAATCTCACGCTTGCAGTAATCGAACATCGGGTTTGGCAGAGGCTTCGTGAATATGTCTGCGTTCTGTTCTCTGCTCGTCACATGGTCCAGCTCAACTTCTCCTCGTTTTATTTGCTCTCTTATAAAATGGAATCGTACGTCAATGTGCTTACTTCTTTCGTGATGAACTGGGTTCTTGGCTAATTCTATAGCAGATTTGTGATCCACAAGAATCTTAGTTGGTGCTGCTTCGCTGAGCATTAATTCGCTCAGAAGTCTTCTTAGCCATACGGCATGTCCTAGACATTGAGAGGCAGCGACGTACTCAGCCTCACAGGTTGACAAAGTCACTATTGGTTGTTTCTTTGACAACCATTTGAAAACTATACTTCCAATGCTGAAAACAAATCCGCTTGTGCTCTTCCGGTCATCTTTGTCTCTGCACCAGTCACTATCGCTATAGCCAATCAGTCTTGTCTCATTCGTCTTCTGGTAAAACAGTCCAACTGTTTTGGTTCCTTGAATGTATCTTAGAATCCTCTTGATGGCTTTCCAGTGTGATTGGCGGGGTTCTTCCATGTATCTACTCACAACCCCAACACTGTATGCAATGTCCGGTCTCGTACAGGTCAAATACCTTAGACTGCCAACCAGACTCCTATAGAGCTCGACATCAACTCGGTCTCCTCCCTCAAACTTAGTTAGTTTGGCTCATGTCTCCATTGGAGTCGCCACCGGCTTGCATTCTTCCATTTTAAATTTCTTTAGAATCCCCTTTGCATATCCCTCCTGGGATACAAAAGTTCCATGCTCCCCTTGACTAACCTCCAGGCCCAAGAAATATTTCATGATTCCGAGGTCAGTCATCTCGAATCTTGTTTCATGCTCCTTTTGAATTCCTCCACTATCTTCTGGTCACTGCCCATAAAGATCAGATCATCTACATACAATGCAACAAACATTATTCCAGTCTTATTCTTTAATACGTATAGGGCGTGCTCGTACGGACACTGCTCGAAACCATGTTTTTTTAGGTAAGAGTCTATGCATTTATTCCATGCCCTCGGTGCCTGCTTCAGCCCGTACAGTGCCTTCTTTAATCTCAATGCTTTCATCTTCTATCCGGCCTCCACATACTCGGGCGGTTGCTCGACATACACCTCTTCCTCCAATGGTCCATTCAAAAATGCCGATTTTACATCCATTTGATGGATCGGCCATTTCATCTGGGCAGCCTTAGCAATTAGCAATCGGATTGTATCCATTCGTACTACTGGTGCAAAAACTTCATCATAATCAATCCCTGCCTTCCGTCTATATCCTTTTGCCACTAGTCGAGCCTTATAACGCTCGACCTTGCCTTCATTATTGCATTTCTTTTTGAATATCCATTTTACTCCAATTGGTTTGTGATCGCATGGGAGATCAGCAAGCTCCCAAGTCTGATTTTTCTTGATTGCCTTTATCTCTTCATCCATTGCCTCTCCACTTCTCATTTTGCTGGGCTTCTTCAAAGGTAATGTTCTCACTATCGGCGAGCAAACATACCAAATGCATCTCTGGAGTGTTTTTGTATAAATCTTCCAAAGTTCTGTACTTATGACAGCTTGTTGGAAATCTCCCTCTTCATCGCTTGAGTTTGTTTCTTGAGTTTCAGTACTTGGTACTGGGATGGTGAGTTTGGTCACCTCCTGTTCGACTTCCATCTCTGTTTCCTTGCTCCAGTCCCAAACTTCATTAATTTCCACACCTCTACTTACTTCAATCTTCTTATTAACTGGGTTATACAATCTATAACCCTTAGTTCTTTCATCATAACCGATCATTACCATTTTCTTACTCTTGTCTTCCAGTTTGGTTCTTTTCTGGTTTGGGATATGATCATAAGCTACACTGCCAAACACCATCAAGTGTGACACGGTTGGTTTTTGACCGGTCCATGCTTCCTGAGGAGTTTTGTCTTCAAGAATTGAGTGGGGACACTTGTTTTGTACATATACAGCGCACCGGGCTGCCTCAGCCCAGAACTCTTTTGGCATAGCCTTGCTTCCAAGCATAGTTCTGACCATGTCCATGATACTCCGATTCTTCCGCTCGGTCACCCCGTTTTGCTGAGGTGAATAAGGGGCGGTCATGAACCTTCTGACTCCTTCATTGCTGCAAAACTCCTTGAACAAATCAGATGTGTACTCACCTCCTCTATCCGACCTCAAAGCTTTTATCTTGAGGCCGGTTTCCTTCTCTACCTGTGTCTTGAATTTCCGAAGGTATTGAATGCCTCCGAATTCTCCCTCAGAAAGTATATCTAGGTTTTCCTGGTGTAGTCATCTACGAAAGTCATAAAGTATCTCCAACAAATAAAAGACTTTGGTGTGATCGGCCCACAAATATCGGTATGGACTGTCTCCAACGGGGCTTTAGCTCGGTATTTCGCCTTTCTTGGAAAGCTCTTATGAGTATGCTTCCGCAAAATTGTTTTGGAAAATCCATCTCAGGCAAACCATGTACCATGCCTCTTCTGCTCAATTCGGCAAGTCCACCAAAGTTCAAGTGTCTGAAACGCATGTGCCATAAGAGTGACTTGTCTGTCAGATTGACTTTCAAGCATCATGGTTTACGCTTCTCAAGTCCAGCTTGTACATCCCATTTTTGGCCATCTTCACTTGAGCAATGCTCGCCCCTTCTTGTCCTTCAAATTCATGTAGCGACCTCTAAGATCGGTTGTGTACCCCTTCTCCATTAGTCGTCCCAGGTTGATAATGTTTGCCTTCATGCTTGGTACATAGAGCACGTCTTCAATCACACCTTTTTGTCCGTTCTTTTGCATGAACCTGACCTTTCCTCTGCCTTTTACCTCGACCTTTGATGTATCGCCAAAAGATACATTTCCTCCTTGGATCTCCTTCGGCTCCGAAAATAAATGTTTGTATCCACACATGTGGTTGCTGGCCCAGTATCGAGGTACCAGGTTGCATCACTTTCTAGCTACCTATTTTGTGTGTCAGGAGGAGTATGCCTTCATCACTGTTGATCTCTCGTTCGGCTATGTTTAAATTTTCCTGTGTTCTGGGTTTGGACCAATAATCTTTCGCAAAATGGCCTTTTTTACCAAAGTTGTAGCATTCTACGTTGGATCGTCCACCACGACCGCCTCTACTACCTCCTCGCCCGCGACCTCTCCAAGTTGGCCTATTGTCTCCCTCAATTGGTTTATATTCATTTCGGCCTCTTCCTCGGCCTCGACCCCGTCCTCGGCCACGGGACTAATCATTATAGAGAGCCTTTTCTTCATTTAGGATTACTTTGCTTTGTTCTTCATGTTCAACTAACTCTTCCCTTTGCATCCTTCTCTTCTCATGGGCTTCCAAGGATCTGGACAGTTCTTCTAGTGTTACGTTCTCGAGGCCTTTGGCTTCCTCGATTGCGCACACGACGCTCTCAAACTTGTCTGTGAGTGTCCGCAAGATCTTTTCAGCTATTTTAGACTCATGAATAGTCTCTCCATTTCTTTTCATTTGGGTCGTCACCCTTGTTACCCATTCAATATAGTCAGAGACGAGCTCAGATTTTTTCATCCTTATCGACTCGAGCTCGCCCTGGAGAATTTGTAGTCGTACCTGTTTCACTCGGCCGCTGCCTCTGAAAGTTTTCTCTAAAGTCTCCCATGCCTCCTTGGCTGTCATGTTTTCTACTCTTTCTTGTCCAGATTTGTCCAGCCCGTAGTTTATTAATGTACGAGCCAGAAACTCCCTTTGCTTCGTCTCCTTTGCTTCCTTTTGATGTGCCGCTGTCAACACTGTTCCTTCGGCTGGTTTGTTAAAACCTTCCTCAACCACATCCCAGACGCCATATGCACCGAGCAGGTTCCGCATTTGAACGCTCCATCGATCATACTCTCCTTTCACGAGTTTCATGATCGGTAGATTTCCAAACAGATTTCCGGACATCATCTTGGAACAAACGTCAACACTGCTCTGATACCAAATTGTTAGGAAACCAGACACAATAACACACTCACGCACACTATGTGATGTAGTATAAGAAGGGAATCATATTCTATTCAAAAACCCAACTCTTGAAATACAGGAGATGCCTTTATATATAATAGGCATTAAAACATCATTAATTGGAACATTAGTGAAAGGAACTTTCTGGGAAGTCTTTTCAAGTATCTAGCAACTCTTTAATTTCCCACATTTATTTGAATTAAAACTATTTTCCAACATTAACTGTGATTAGCTACACTATAAAATGATTGAGATGTGTTTTGAGTGATCATTTACGAATTGCGATGTTGTAAATCAGCCTAGAGTGATAGCTTTGTATTTTCATAGACACTTAAAAAAGAGCAGCAGTAGGCAAACAAATGAAAGGGGGGAAACCTGGGTTATAAGCAGTTCGGGAAGTGATTGGAATGGAAGCCATCATTTTATCTGGATCTTCTTCGGGTGGCAAGGTTATTGTAAGTGGATAGGTGAAACCCATCCATTTGACTTTATACGGTGCAAACTTCTTCAGCAAGAAGTTACGAAGTCCGATATAAAACTCCTTGGATGTAAATCTACCATCCCTAATATAGACGCAGCCATATGCCATGATCCACGTCCCTTCACCTTTATCAATTTTAGTCTGATCCAGAAGATGGACATTGATGTCACGAGCTGGAATTTCGAGATATCTGTTATGGACTTGGAAACAGTGGAAGTAGGCGGAGACAAAACATTTTATATCAAACGCAGTTACATTCCCACCCTTGGAATCTGTGCAGCCCAAGGTAAAATTAAATTTTACACGAGGAACAAGTGAGAAGGAGAGACCTTCATCAGCTTTTCCACTTTCATCTGCAATTATATTTCACGAAAAACTATCGCATCAAAATTACCAATATGGTGTCATAAACAACGAACAGAATTGAATAGACATGTATTTTCCAGACTACTTTTAAATAAACGCTCCCATCCGCTGCAAGAGAACACTTTTAGCTCAACAAAAAGGAAAATGAAAAAACTTATGCACTAACGATAATGATCAAGTAACAATTGAAATGATAAATTTAATGTATAGAAACCGGTGAGAGCGAGAGTGTGAGCTTCCCGGGCGGCGACTTCGGTAATCTTGTGGGACAGTTTGAGGGAATCAAGTGGTGGCGCGGATGATTGCGAGATTTCCTCCATTGATGAGAATGTTTTCAAAGCTGCTCGTTTCTATTCGACTCCGAACACGGAAGATGCTTACTTAGGGTGTATGGAGCACGTAAATTTTATGGAGTCGTAACCACTTGTAAGTTTAATTAACTTGTAAGGCTAAGACCTGGTTGTAACTTGTAAGGTCAGGACTCCGATTTGTTGGTCTGGTCTGGTTTTATCTGATTTGATCTGGTCTGAACTGGTCTGGTCTGGTATGGTTTCTTTGTATTTTTATAATTATTCATGTCTGATCTGGTCTGGTCTGAACTGGTCTGGTCGCGTCTGGTCTAGTCTGATCTGGTCTGGTCTGGGACGAATTACAGTCCAAGTAAAACATCCTAAGACCTAGTGGTCAAGAGTCCGGTTAAATTTGAACTCCGTTCATATGAAAACAGTATTTAAATTTCGTCAATATTGTTTTTTTTATCATAGATTTCGTCAATATTTCATGCATTCGTGCGTCGTTAATAAAATACACTATGCAAATGTTTAACATATCAATTTAGTAAAAAATTAATTAAATTATTATAAGTAATGTTTTACTTTTAATTTTTCCTTTAATAATTATAAAATAAAAGGTCAAATAAGGCCACGTATTAACCAAAAAAGGTCAAATAAGGCCTTATTTATAAGGCTCTGTCCGGCCTTTGTCATTTGGGGTGGTTTTCGGTGGAATTTTTTGATGAAATTTTTTGAGAATCTTATTCAGTAAGTCTAGTTTACTCATACCAAAATTCAGCTAAAACTTAAATATGGAAGGCATTCAAATGATTTCTTGAAGATAACTGCGCAATTAAAAGCGCAATTATCTTCAAGAATTCATTTGAATATCTTCCCGATTGAATTGTTAGCTGAAATTTGGTATGAGTAAACTAGACTTAATGAATAAGATGCTTAAAAAGTCTCATCAAAAAATTTCACCGGGAACCACCCCAAACAGCGACAGCTGGACATATCCTCTTAAATAAGGCCTTATTTGACCTTTTTGGTTAGTACGTGGCCTTATTTGCCCATTTTCTCAATAAAAAATACACAATGTCGATGTAAAAAAATTAATTTTTTTTTACATGTTTTGATAAACAAACTGAGTTCTAGCACATTGGAACATTGGATTCTCTTCTCAAGTTGGGTATCTAGCCATAGCACATTGAATTAAAACTTTAACAATTATAACATAGATTTTTTTCATTTTTAAAAAGCATAAAATTTCATGAATTTTGATATATATTTTGAAAAATTTAGAGAACAAATAAAAAAATTATAAGAGTTTAAATTATTTTGGGATTTTAATGAAGCATGTGTGACGTTACGATGACACATCCGAATGCATGATGTGCCCCCTCCCTTCTCTTTTCTTTGAAAAAATGACATAAATAATACTATAGGAGTTTGGAAAGACGTAAATATGACTCAAACTGAAATTGGACAGAAACGGGAGTAAAATAAAATCGGAAGACAAAAACACCCTTGCACTTAACCCTTCCGTACTCACCCGTCGAAATGCCCATCTCTCTGTTGTATCTCTTTTACCTTTTCCACTAGGGTTTTTTTATGAAGGTGGAGGCGGCCTGGTTGAAGCAAGAAGGTGGCCTACCTGAAGACGACGACAGTCTGGCTGAGGAAGAAGACGGTTTGGATGAGGGCTACAGAGACTGATTGAGGACGATGGATTTGCAGCGGGCGACGACCACGGCCTTGCACTGGACGCCGACGATGGCGGCCTTGCACCGGACACCGACGAAATTGTTGATGATGGCGATGGTCAACGACTGCATCTCTACCATGCATTGATTACGACGATGAAGTACGGATCTGCCTAGGGATTGTTTGATAGTGGTGGAGGACTGACGGCCTTAAATGAGTGCTACAATGGGCGATACTTTTCGACGACGAGCGATGTTTTGGCTCTAAAAGTGGCTTTGATGGTCGGTGTCGGTGATGCGGCGCTGGACAGGGTCGGGGTCAGTGGGTGGCAACAGGATTTCTAGGCTATTCACATGGTAGGTGTGTGATGTGGGGGTAACGGGGGTGCTGGGCTGGTGACGGGGTACGTTGGTGGGACCGGAAATGCTTGGGTGATCGGAAATGGCTATGGAGGAGTCGGTGTTGCAGGGGTAGGGGAAATGGGGATGCCCATGGCGGGTCACTGGGAATGACATATCATTGTAATTGTCAACGACGGTGGTCACTGTAATTGTTGTCCCTGGAGTCACTGTAACCGGTGGCAGAGGTCACTGTGGCCGACGACCGCTCACAGGCGGCTTGCAACATGTCACTGAATTGGGGGTCAGGTAAGGAGCTGTGTGGTGGCAGGTTGTTGGGGCGCAGGGCATGAGGTCACTATCGTTGTGTGCAAGTCACCGTATCTCTCGGTGACAAGGTGAGTGTAACTGCCGGTGGCGGTAGTCACTGTCCCAGCGGTGGTCACTGTCACTATCGTCGGTGGATGTCACTAGAGCGGTAGTAACTGGGACAGTGATCATCAGCGACAGTAGTAATTGAGACGATGTCACTGAAGTGGCGGTAGTAACTGAGACATATTTCACACTTATATTTGTGTAATAATAATTTAAATATTTAAGTCCACTGTATATACATTCAAATATCTATTATTGGAAATAATATTAAAATAGAAAGAAGAATTAATTGGAAGACAATGCAATGATACATTGATACGTAGTGAATTGGTACGGCAGTGTTATCTGGATGCAATGCTAAGCACAAGAAGGGCAATTTAGAGAATTAGGTATTTATTAGTCACATTTTTGGAAAGTTTGAAAAAGGGTCTCTTTTTTGTCTAATGTCTATTTTTTAGTAATATTCATGTCAAAAACCCCTTTTCTTTTCTAAAAAAAATGATGACACCCCATCCCTGAGGGCCCCCCAACCCCGACCGGACGGTACGTTGGGAGGATGTAAATTGGACTATAATCTCAATCTGACAGATAGAGAATGAGGCTTTGTCCCCGGTACTTGCAGAGGCCCTATGCATTTTTTAGCATAGTAACCCCTCATCGCAGTTGCCGGGATTCGAACCCGGGACCTAACCCTTGTGGCACTCCCTTGCTACCAGTTGAGCTACGCCCACCGGTTCTCTTTTCTTTTCTTTTTCCCTATCAATCGCACCTTCTACTTTTACAACCCTCCATCCTTTTTCCCACTTTTAATCCCCCTTTTACTCCACCACTACACCAAATTAAGAATTCAAACTCTCCATTTTTAATCTTTTGACTCCTAATCCCAAACCACTACAAATGGTCTAACCGCAACTTCTCTCACCACTTTATACATATTCACCCAATCAATTCAATTTTTTCCAACAATCCAGCATCGTCAATATATTCACTCAGCACATATTTTTTATAGGGAAAACTGTCAAATAGGTCCTCGAACTTTCAAAAAAAGATCAATTAAGTCCTTTTATAGGAGGTTCTGTCCGGCCGTCATAATTTGGAGTAGTTGCCGGTGGATTTTTTTGATGAAATTTTTTGAGTATCTTATTCAACAAGTCTAGTTTACTCATACCAAATTTCAGCTAAAAATTCAATAGGGAACACATTCAAATTAATTCTTGAAGATAACTGCGCATTTTTGCGTTCTCGAATTAATTTGAATGCGCTCCCGATTAAATTTTTAGCTGAAATTTGGTATGAGTAAACTAGATTTGATGAATAAGATGCTCAAAAAAATCATCAAAAAATTCCACCGGGAACCGCCCCAAATCGCGACGACCGGACAGTGTCTCCTATAGAAGGACTTAATTGACTTTTTAATGAAAGTTCGAGGACCTATTTGACAGTTTTCCCTTTTTTATACTTAAATGCATAAATCCTTACATTTTTTTACTTTACATCGTTTATGTGACAATTTAATTTTTACCAATAGTTATAATTTTTGTTATTCCAGGCCTATATTTTAAAAACATAACCAAAAGATGTAAACAAAATTATGCATGAGATATTGTTTTTCACATTTGGATCTACTTAAGAATAATTTTGAGTCTAAAGATCCCCATCAGATAAAACATCATTTTTTAACTTTATATACATGATAGTGATGTCATATGAAAGATCGTAAAAAGTTATAAATTTTGATATATTATTTATAAAAAAATGAATCATTAATAAAAAAGTAACACTCCCTCTATCCCCCTATAATTGTCCCATTTTTTCATTTTTGGATGTCCCTTTATTATTGTCTCATACCATATTTGGTAACATTTGTGTGGTTCTAATTCATTCTTACTTTATTTCCACTTTATCAACTTATTACCAACCACATAATTCTACTTCTAAAAAACCACACCACTTCCTTCCGTGCTAATATTAGGGGGACAGAGGGAGTACCTTTTTTAAAAAATGGGATTTTTATCTTCCATGGAGCTCATTTTTTTCTTTGTTGCGCACACCAAGGGAACCATTTTTTTCTCTCTCCAAGAGTGAATCCAGCGTCTATATCCCCACCCCGCAAGGGTTTCCCCAACCCACTACAATATCTTGCTATACCGCCTATACTCATTTTGGCTTGGGTTGGAGCTCAATTTGGGGTGAAAACTTCAAATTTGGGTTTCCATCCCCTTGCATTGCGGATAGCCTAAGGGACTCTATTTTATGAAATTATATGGCATGATGATGTGGTATAATGATGGGACCCACCTGTAAATCAGATAAATACTACTCCGTATATGCTCCGTAGTATACAAGTAGGAGTTTTTTTCCGGATTAATGCTAATTAAATAAATAAATCCCAAAATAATATCGGGTTGAAAAACAATTCCCTAAATACTCTTTCGGGACGACGTGATAGAGTGATTCTTCTGCCTCATAACCAGAGCATTCGGTTCCCTAACACTTTAAACACAAGGTTCAAAGTGTTACATATTATTCAGGCATAAAACAACAGTTACATATTAACGTTAAAAGAGTTGCATCCTAAAAAAGTTGTCTTTATTACAAAAATGTCATCGTGACTTTATAGCTTTTAGATCACGGATGATCAAGATGAATTTGTAATTTCTATATTAAGGAGGGATTGTATTTGGTCTCTATTTTGTGTGTGTGTAAA